TACCAAAATTCCCTTCCAGGAGTCATGGTGGTCTCCAGTCAAATCGAACAGAAGTGTCATCACATCATAGACATCCAACTCAAATCAAGTAAGAGGTCTTTAGCAGCACCTCAGTGTGTTCTGGACCGTTGAAAGACATTTTAAATCAATAATGAACCAAACCATCTAGCGCTGCCAGAGAGAGAGAGCACAGAAAGTTAAATGACTCATAAATAATCTTGGCAAATAACAGCAATTTCAGATCTAATAGAGCGATTTCACAAGTCCATGAGCATGGCCACACACACACACACACACACACACACACACACACACACACACACACACATCTAAGAACACATAAATGTACACTCCATTAAACATTTTAAATAAAGGCGTAGTCAGAGGAGTGAAACTTCAAGATACCTCCAGCAGTGTCTGTGGGCCACAGTCTTTATTTATCTTGATAGATTTTAATTTAATGAAATGGTCAGTTATGCTATTTTGACACATACCTGTTGAGTGTTGACTAGACCAGTGTTTCCCAACCGGGGTGCCGTCTGTCAAGAGCAGGGGTGCCGTGTAAAAAAATAATTTTTAAATATTTTTAAATTGCTAAAATGTTCAAAAAAGCATGACTAAAAAAAGGTTGGGAAACACTGGACTAGACTATATATCAGCATGATATACGACAATATTATTATAACCTGGTTTTCAGCCATGCTTGGCAAAGTAATTACATCCTCATGTGGGTCGCAATATCACGTGGCTCTATAATCGTAGACACAAGGTCGCAGGTAACTGTTTCCAATTTTAATATTCAGTACTGCAGCATGATTGCAAGTGTGAAATTGCTTTTACACAACAGTTAATACTTTAAATTTCATACAAGTATATAAAGAGTATAGTATTCTCCGCCAACGAAAACGAATAGTTAAACTACCAGAAGCTAAAGGATCAAATCTGTGTACTGCCATGTATGTATATATGTATGTATTTCTTACATTTAATTTATAATAATAATCTGAAAGGAGCTGGTTGTATTTAGAGTGAATTGTTGAAGCAACCTTAATGCTACTTTGCTGCCACCTTGAGGTCATATTATATAACTACACATGTTGTGCCATTGGGTTTTCTTCATTATTACTTCCATGGTGAGCTAAATCAAACACTTTAGCACCAGAAGAATTTGCCTCTTAATGTGAGGTACAAATCTAGTTGCTGTGATATTTCATTGACAGTCACTTCTGTCATAAGGAATGAGAAAAGGCCCAAGACTTTCAAACATTTAAATATCTTTCTTTATTACAAGCATGTTTATTTTTTCTTGCCGTTAATAGATACAGAAAAAAAAAAAACTGGCAAAAATTCACATATCTACGGATATCAACCTTTTAAAAACTTTATACAAAAGGAGCCCAAACTGTACATGAATATTACTACATACATATATGCTGTAAAGTGTACAGTAGTATACATATATATATATACTGTATATATAATAAATTTATGAGCAACATCACACTTTGTGCAGATAAAACAAAAAAAGCTTTAGATATTTAGTTAATCTGAATAGGCTGGCACAGATGAAGCCCCACTACAGGCAATAAAGCCTTCAGTTATAGCAGTCGACATCTAATCAAATATTTGGTCACACCTGCTTTAAAAACAGTAAGTGTATTTCCTACAGTCAGTGTGAGCAATGACCATGCACGTCATCTTAAAAACTACCTCAAACATATTTAAAATAAAAAAACAGACTGTTAAAGCTATTTTTTTTTTTACATTTTCATCTTTACTGAAATTGACTTCTCCCATGACCTTACATTTGGTTGTTTTAAAACTGACCAGTAACATTCTTACTCTGTAACTGTAAGTAGTTCTCTCCATCCTCTAGATACAAAAGTAGCAAAAAGACTTTTTTTTTTTCACAAGATATACAAAATACCTATTTCATATAGCCTTTTTAGACAGACAGAATACAGTGTTTGCCAGTGCCTGAACGCACCCCTGAGGCAGACAGCGTTCAGTGATCAGATTATTCCTACATTACAAAAAATAGTTCTGATTTAAAACAACAGTTTGTCAGAAACAAGAAGAAAACACATTTGTGAAGGGACATTTGTTCTAGAACCACCTTCTTTTAGCTATGGTAGTTTGTAGTTGTCATGTACGGCTATCCAATTAACACTATGCAATTTTTGTTTAGTGCACAATAGTGGTTTTTTCTTTTTTTTGTTACATTCAGGAAGCCAGAAAGAACTGTAAAAGTGAACAAAAACAGGAAATACAGTAGAATGCAAAACAATAAAAATAACAGTAAAAAAACATGAAATGAATTAGTTTACCCCTATTATATTAATCTAAGCTACTTAAAAATCATAACTTGAGAATCTATGTATAAGCACATTCTTGTTTTGTTTCAGATTTGCCAGCATTGATTAGCACTTGGTATCGTAGATGTGAATCACTTGGACTGGACTGAAAATTTGAACCAAAATTATAAAAGTGGTTTATATAAATGAGAATATGACTCAAATGCTTGATAAAGCTCAGTGGTTGGTCCATTACTACGGCATCACATGGCATGCAAAGTTCAGACCTCGATAATCATAAATAATAAAATAGACAGTGTTTGACTTTTGACAGATTTTACATTCATACAAATTAAATAATACACTTTTGGACCAGAGACAAAGTTATTCAGTCGACATGTTAGATAATTATGTCATTCATTCATTCATCCACTCAGCCTTTGTAAACCTTGACATCAATATACTCATCAATATATTCTATATATAGATATAATGTGTGCATGAAAAAGGACATTCTGTTTTTACTATTCTGTGACATTTCATCAACATTATAACATAATTGTTCAAAAATGACTCTTACACCTTTTAACAAACTAGCTATACCCATAATGCCATTTTTTAATTTGACATTCTCTGTTGCAGGCCGACTGACAGGCAATGAAAACACATGTATGTGCACGCTTCACTGAACTGAACGCATGAACATACATTGAGGTTAAAAAGCACCAGAAGGCACCTACCCACAAGAAGCTTGGAGTAACCATCAAAACAGTGGTCTTGATAGTCTTTGACATCACCTACTTTCTCTCTCTGTCATGGATGATGGTTAAAATAGTGAAATGGGTGACTGGCCTCATCACGAGAACTGAATGACAGGGTGAGCGAAGGAAACACATGCGAAGAAAGAAGTGAAAATGAAGAGATGATGCTCCAGGAAAGCAACACTACATTCCAGAATCAATGTGAGCAGAAACAAAACGAGAGAAAAAAAAATGGCATGAAATGTGAAGGACAGCAGGGAAAGAGTCATGCAGACAAACGGATGTAGTTTTGATGATCAAATGGTCTGATTTTTAGTTTGGTTTGTTTAGTTCCATTTCCGTTCCAGTGTTACCTGGAATATAAACTTGCATTCACACTCAATTCAAATCAATGTGAATTTGAATTCATTGACGTGACGGAGATGGAACTGAACATACTTCACAATATTTTTATGAGAATGATGTATTAAACAGGTAAGTCATCAGGTTCATTTAATTTGTTATAATGTTATCTGGAATTTAAACTGAATTGCATTCACACTCGATTCAAATTCAAATCAAATCAATGTGAATTTGAATTCACTGACAGGACGGAGATGGAATTGAATGCACTTCACAATATGTTTATGAAAATGTCATTTTAAACAGGTGTGAGGCACATTTCCTGGGAATTATTTTAAAAAGCTCATCTTCTGTGTTATGCACACTAGAAAAGAGCCATTTCTGTGAACATAGTGGCCAAGATAGGCCGTCTGCGATGCTGACCTTGATTGGGCTGTTAGTTTAATGAGTTGTCCGTGAACAGTATCACAGGCTAATTACATCTTACTTATTTATATCAGATCATAAATTAGTAATGTGCAACAAAGAAATGATAGCAACCCAGCACAGGGCTCCAACAGTTACATTAATATAGACAAAAGGCTTTGGGAACAGTCAAATAGGACGTTACAATCATGAAAGTATGCTGATGAGGAAGTTAATTTGTACTTTTTGTGCATGCACAAAGATGTTTACACCAACAGAACTGTTAAATTTCATTCGTTTATCTTCAGGAGCCCTGGGCCGTGTTGGTGGCACTGGACGATGTCGAATACTACTTTTTTCGGCCTCCATTCTCAGCTGGTGCAATGTCAACTTAAGGCAGTGTGGTGGGATTCTTCTAATGCCATCAAACACTTTCCCTCTATTTCTCTTTCAGCATAAGGCAACTAACGCACATTTAAATATTCCGTATTTCACAACCTTTGGTTCCAAACTGCGGTGTAAAAGATGGGAAACATTAGCATTAAGGCAGAACAGTCAAGCTAAGGTGGCTAGCGTAGCCTTTAGCATTCTGTATCTGGTTCTACACTAAAAAAAACTAAAGGACTGATTATACGTAAGGAACTACAGAATTTTAAAGCAAATCGTCAAGCAGCTAGGAAAGAGTAACTGGTTGTCATAATGACACAAGTCAACGGTTTTACAAACTTTGGAACAGTAGAACATGAGTGGATTTCCACCTTTTTGAAAGTTAAGGGTGAAACAATGACAGTCCAGTTACAATTTGTCTTCTTGTAGTTGTTCTAACAAAGGCCTACTTTCACACTCGCACACACACACACACCGAGTTCTCTCTAGTACAGTGCAGCAACAGAAATGGCCAAACTTAGCCACTTACAATGCAGTCGGACAAAGACAATCGCAGGCTATGGAGTGTTCCTCGATAACAGGTTTGCACAAAGGCAACACCAGTTTGTTCTATAAAAAAGTAGGACAAGAAAAGAGAAGGAGCACAGGACAAAAAAGGGAAAGGGAGACGACAGAGAACAAAGAAAAGAAGAAGAAAAAAACAGGACAATCAGTTTTGAGAGCATCCAAGGCCATTTTAACTGTCATCCACATTAATATTTAGTGGTAGGGGTTGCGTTTGAGATGGAAAGGTTTGTGCTACTACTGCCCAGTGTAGGTTTCAAGTAATTTTTCACATGAAGGATTTACTAGGGTAGGTGAGCGAACACGTAAACCCACAGTGTAAAGGGAACACACTCTCACATTTAAACGTACACACAAAAACAAGGTAAATAGGTCCCAAGGCTGCTAAGCGCAGTACGCCACACTCCCAAATGGTGCAGCCAATTCAGTTTGGCTTCTAAATGAACACACAGCATCCCTAGCCCATTAGCGTATACCATAAAACCGCCTTTCAGTGCTTTTGTTTCAGATAAAATGTAACAAGCCAAGATTGTGTCCCAATCTTGACTCTGGAATAATCAAGGGCTAATTTGATTGGATAAGTAGACTATTTCTTTCATATGGCCCGAGACTGTTATACGGACGTCTCAGGTCCCGGTGCGCTGTAGGCGTAAGCTGCCCCAGAGAATCTAGGGTTTTCTCCTATTCGGAGGAAGGAGCTGAAGGTGCAGTAGTCAGGCCTGCCCCTCCAGTAGGTACACATCAGTTTTTTGGGAGGGGAGGAGTCAGACCTGTGATGGGTGTGGTTCTGGTGTTCGTTGCCATGTCTGTCGTGTTTCCGCACAGGTGGAGCATGGAGGGAGGACAGGGGGGTGAACTCGGACAGGTGGCCCTTATACAACTTATCGGCATTCTGGAGAAAACAATGAGGAAACAGTGAGAAAGAGAGTGAATTAGCAGATTGCATTGTATACTGGCATGTAAATGCAGGCACTGGTCACATCACAAGCTAAAACAACACAAATCCAAAGCCCCAGCAAGAAGCAATGAAAAAAGAACAAAATATTACATACAAAATCACATATCCAATGTTTACCACATGCACAAGTCCAGTCCCAGAAGATGCTAAACTGATCGATTGAGAGACTGTTACAGGATAAACTGCTGAGAGAAATTTAGCTAAGTCTATTGAGAATTTTTTTATCCATTGCAGGATGAAAGGTCATTCACCCCAAAATCAAGTTACATTTTTAAAATAAAAGTTTGGGGTTGGTGAGATTTTTAATGTTTCTGAAAGAAGTCTTGTAGGCTCTGCAAGGGTTCATATTTATTTGATAGAAATACAGTAAAAACAGTAATATTGTGAAGTATTATTACAATTTAAAAGAACTGTAATAATATATTTTAAAATGTAATTTATTCCTGTGATGCAAAGCTGAATTTTCAGCAGGCATTACATTAAAATGTACTGTAAAAAATATAATAAATGATTGTAAAAAACTGTAATAATCCTTTTTTTTGGCAAAATAATAGGGGGACAAATGAACCTATTCAAAAAACTTAACTTTCTTTAGGAAAGCATCAATATAATTTCTTGTTTTTGTCTTTTAAGTTTGCAGTGAAACATCAGGACAAGTTCACACATTTTGTGAGATTCACCAATCATAAGCACATTCTAGGAATGGACATTAAAAGGTGGACATTTAGAAATATATGACAATCTTTTCACTGATTTAGACACAATATGAAAAAAGGATTTAAGAAAATAAAAAATACCCATGCATGTCAAAGTGTTAGATGTTAAACTGTATGTCAAGCCTGCCGTGTGTATTTGTGTATGTGTCAGAAGAACCCATAGTCCCCATGTCCTGTTAGCTGCATATACTGCACACCCCAAACCACAACCCATTAACTTCATTCTGAAGCTTTAAAACCAAACCAAACCAGTCTGTAGGTTTCACACCAAACAACAGACCCACACAAGGTGCACCAAAGGCATTTTAATCCAGTTTGCTTTCACTGGAAAGAGCCAATTAGCAGGATTCTGGAATTCTCAGATTGATTCTAGAACTGCACACGTCATCTGAGAACTCTAGAGCTCCTCTTGTGTTAAGTGTCGATTAGTTCTTTCTGGCTTTAGTCTTCAACTTCACATTCTCTTTACCATAGAGCTGCTAGGCCTCAGTGGTGTTCTGAACGCCATCTAGCAGTGAATCATGAATGTTTGTCTCAACCCTTTCAAAGATCCTGTCAGCCCTCATTCTCTGTGAAACATCACACATACAAACAGACTCAAATGTGGCATAACAGACCCATGTGCACACTATTTTCTAGACTTTGTCTTGACTTTGAAGTCTCTTGCTGAAACTGAAAGCATGGCAGCAGAAAATGCATGAAACAACTTCATATCGGCAACATAAAATACACATGTACAAACATAAACAAGCACACTTCATGCACGTGACGTAATAAAAGGCTTAGAACATAAAGAGAGACACCACAGGGTTCTGCAACACTTGTTATTGGCATGTGAGCCTCATTAATGTTCAGTAGGTCTGTCATACTCGTGACCCTGTTGTGTCTTCGCTCACTGATACACACACACACACACACACACACACATGCAGAGAGAGTGTGTAGGTTCACCTCCGGCTCAGTTCAGAAACTGACACTGCTGGAGGTCTGGGAGAGCATAAAGATGGTGGACTGCTCAGCAGTGAGACACTGCCGCTTTGTCTGCCGTTACCACAGATCAAGGGTTAAACACACAGGGGAAGGGGAAGGTCAAGCATCAGGAGAGAGAAAGAGAGATGGAATAAAGAAAGAAAGGGTTTAGAAAGGTGAACAACCTGTCTAATCCTCCGAGCTTAATAAAGGAACTTCAGCAGCTTTCAAAGCATTCAAAGTTTCTGGAAGTGCAAGTGTTAGTGTTAGATTTTGCATTTTCAAGGTTCTTTTCTTGAAGAATTATTAGTAAAACTTTACAATAACGTTTAACTCGTTTACCATGTTATCCTGTTTTGTTATTGTTAACTAAAACGTAAACTTGTTAAAAATCATTTTTTGTCAATTGAAATAAAGCTGAAATAAAAATTTAAAAAATATTAAAATCTTGCCTTGGCACCTAACTGAAATAAAACAAGTTTTAAGTTCAAGTACTAACATTACTAAAACTCAAAGTTAAATATAAAAATAAAAAAAATGACAAGTGCACAAAACAAAATGACTAAAACAAACTAAAATTTAAATGTAAACAGAAGAATAAAAGGTAATTATAAATATTAATATGTACAATAAAACTAAATTAACACTGTCAATAACATTCATCCATTAGGTATCATAAACGAATACTTAGCAGTTTTTACTGCATGTATTAATCTAGTTTAATGATCATTTATAAATTAACAATTTATTAATTCATGTTCATTCATAATACATTAATGTTAATTTATACAAGATATTATTTTAAAAAAATATATATATATTAGAAAAATATAGAGTTACTGTACATTAACCAAGATAAATGCTGTATTTTTTAAATATACATTTACATGACATTTCATAACATTAGCACTCTGGAAGTTTAATAGGGAAGATGAGTGAAAGGAAAAGCATCACACAGGTTAAACCAGTGGTAAGGCAGTTTACACACGCGCACACATTAAATTTCCTTCTGAAATTTTTCTTAACATAGTATGATAACATACTATGTGTGCACAGTAGTCATTGTGTCACATATTGTTTGACAAAGAGTCGACAGGTCAAATAAAACCATTGAATGTCTCAAAGAGTCATCCAACATATAAAGGCAAATCTACAGATGAAGAGAATCGTGAACTGCATCCAGAATCCACTTACATCAAGCACACTGGGAACCAGTCCGACGCAAGTGTAAATCTGAAGACCAGTTAGTAGCAATGATCACAAACAAGAGCACTATTGAGCTGCTTCACATCAACAATTATTTGATTGAAAAGAACACAAATATTTCTTTTAAATAGCTGTATTCTTGCAGAATGAATCTTAGCTGGATTAGACAACGTTTTAGGTCGATTCAGAAGTTGATGAGAATTAAAACGAAGCTGCAGTCAGTTCAATACACTTCAGCTGCAGAAATGCTACAAATATATAATATAAAAAAATAGCTAGAAAATATCCTGAAATCATAGGTTTTTAAAATATTATGTATATATGCACATAACATTATTTCTTTCAAATAGCTGTCTATATACTGCAATGAAATATAGACACATTTATATAGATATGACATGTGAGCTACTTGTATCTTTTCATCTCTATGCACATGTAGATAGTGAGCGTTGTGCTGTCGTACCTGTATTCTCTCTGTGGTGGTGGGCCAAAGAGCTCTACACAACACTTTCTTCACCACATCAGGCAGCAGACTGACTATAATCAGCAGAATGATACTGAGCCATGCAGGACCGCTGGACAACATCTGCATGAACACATAGTACATCCTCTGATAGTTCAGGAAAGGCCTATAAAGAACAGAAACACAGCAGAAGAATCGTGTTAGATTCTAATGTATTTCATTTAGTGATATTAAGTGTGTAACGGGGCAGGCCGTACCAAATGATGCCTCCCCACAGGAGGGAGAAGATGACATAGAAAAGCAGTGACCCCCATATGACAAAGTGGTTGATCCACGTCCAGTAATGTGTGTCCAGGGCAAGCTAAAGCATGTAGACACAGTGAGAAACGGGAAGATACAGCTGGTGAAGCTGACACCAGTTGGTAACATAACACGTGTGTGTCAGATGCATTACCTTTAGCGTGACCGTGAACACCAGGACGGTGAATACAAGTGTTCCAAAGGTCCAGTTTCCAAACATCTGGAACAGAGGAATATTGAAAAAGGCAAAAAGAGATTGACGCTAATGCATAAATAGCCACTCGAATGAGCACAGCTCACACTCTCATCATGTTAATGCATGTTAAAAACTTATGTGCCATTATTTGTACAATTCAGTAGCACTTGGTAGAAAAAGATTTGTTTGAATTACCCGGTAAAGGTATATAATATATTAATAACAAAAATAATTCTTCGCTTTTTTTTTTATGATACGGAAAATACTAGACAATACAAAGAAATATTATGCAAGAAATATTCTACATAAGAATAGCTGTTTAGATAGTATACAATATACTATAAACAATACAATAATGGGTAAAGGCATTCACCTAAATCATGAAAACCAAAATAACATTTATAATTTCCAGATTTCATTCTTTTATGTAGGAATTTATATTATATATTATTTGTATATATAATATATCATGGGCAGAAAGATTGTAGACCCTATACAATGTAATAAAAGAACCTAATAAATTATTAATATACTGTAATTATAATTATACATATTAAAAATATAATGACTGTTATCAGATGTAATTTATATTTAATATATTATATTTATATAATTAATCAATACACAAAAAAACGTTTTTATACTAATGGTTGATTACCCAATTTCATATGATAGCAGTTTTCCATATCAGTGCATCTAGTTGTATCAGTCACACTGAATAAAACTTGTTCATCATTGCAGAAATTAAAGCAGCATATAAAAATAAACATTGGACACTCATCAAATGTTCCTTTAAAAATCTTTTGAATCTATTGCTTGTGAAAAATTTCTAAGAAATAGTACCATTATATTATTTTAATGGTGCTGTAAATGAAAGCACTTTTGTGTCATTCTACTTTGTTTTACAGAGATTATTAATGATGTCTGGAGCTCGGTGATGTCGTGTGCATTTTATATTTTGTCCATAAAAGCCTCATAAATAAATAGTGAGCTTAAATAGTCCCTTAAAATGTTATAATGGATTCAGTTTTGCAGATTGGCCCAATAAACCTTGGGTGCTGTAAGCTTCTCTGTGTGATTGCGTTTGTATCTTTTGGGAGGATTTGTTCCCTCATTGTTTACAGTCTTGGCAAATGGCTGAATTTAGACACAATGGACTCTCTTCTAGAACCTTCCCCTGTCTGTGGACCGGCCACACTCTTGATGGCACTATGCAAAACAACATCAACACTATAAAGAGAGCTCTTTATAAAATCACTGCATGTTTACCTTTAAAAAATGAATCACAATCAAAGCAGCAGGTCAAAGACTGTATGGCACCAAATGGTTTTAGTGACCAACATAATGATGATGAGTTGCCAGTTTAAAATACAAGGACACACAATAAATGTCAACAAGTTTGAGGAAAATGCATTAACTTACCTTAATGAGCAATCAAAATGAAATTTAGTGTTAAAAAACAAAAACATGTCAAGGGCAAATGCTGTTTAAAGAAGTTGAAAGATTTTTCAAAATGATGAATCTGATATTTCAGCACAATTTTGCAATTTTATGGTTAATCAGATAATGATTCTTCTGTTAATGATAGAGTTTTGCCACTTTCCACAAATAGAGAAAAAACAGTTTGAAGTTCTTTTATTTCTTTATTATTATTCAACAAATGGTCAGTGTAAGAGGAGCTTAAGCATGTTAATCGCCAATATTAGGGGCTCAAGCTAAATACTATATGAGCTATTATATTTAAATTTTATACAAGGTTGGTAATTTTACAACTCTGTAACCAAAAGTCGAGTTTAAAACTATGATTTGTGTGATTTTTCTATTTCTCTAGTAATAAATAAATATTAAAACTAAATAGACAAAATGTATAATAATAAAATAACAATAACAATAAAAAATAATAATTTAGATTAAATAATTTTAAAGGGGTCATATGATGCGATTTCAAGTTTTCCTTTCTCTTTGGAGTGTTACAAGCTGTTCGTAAATAGATAAGATCCCTAAAGTTGCAAAGACTAAAGTCTTAAACCCAAAGAGATATTCTTTATAAATAATTATTTTAGATGAA